GAGAGAACCAGCAGATGGAAGATCTCTCTCTTTCTGTCTCTGTCATTCTGCCTATCAAATAAATAAATAAATCTTTAAAAAAAAAGGTAGAGAAACTTGAAAAAAATGAAATCCCTGAGGAAAGATAGAGATGTCTAGTAGGAAACTGAATATCTCCCTTAGAATTTCTCTTTAAGATTTTTTTTTAAAGTCAGAGTTACAGGAGAAATGGAGAGAGGGGCCAGTGCCGTGGTGCAGCGGCTTAACTCCTTGGCCTAAAGCGCCGGCATCCCATATGGGCTCCGGTTTGAGTCCCGGCTGCCCCACTTCCAATCCAGCTCTCTGCTATGCCCTGGAATAGCAGTAGAAGATGGCCCAAGGCCTTGGGCCCTTGCACCCAGGTGGGAGATCCGGAAGAGGCTCCTGGCTCCTGGTTTTGGAGCAGCGCAGCTCTGGCCGTTGTGGCCAATTGGGGAGTGAACCAGCGGCAGATGGAAGACCTCTCTTTCTCTTTCTCTTTCTCTTTCTCTTTCTCTTTCTCTTTCTCTTTCTCTTTCTCTTTCTCTTTCTCTTTCTCTCTCTCTGTCTCTCTCTCTCTCTCTCTGCTTCCCCTTTCTCTGAGTTACTCTGGCTTTCAAATAAATAAATAAATCTTAAAAAAAAAAAAAAAAAGCAACTCAGGCATGGAAAGCCAAGACACTCTGGCAAAAGATCTCTGTGAGTGAGATCCCAGTGGAAAGAACAGGTCTTCAAAGAAGGAGGTACCTTTCTCTGAAGGGAGGAGAGAACCTCCACTTTGATTATGACCTTGTCTAAACAAGATAAGAGTCAGAGAACTCAGAGGGCTTCCATAGCCTTGGAAACTCATGACTGGAGCATAGGGAGATTACTGATGCCATAGACAGGAGTGTCAATTGGTAAAGTCAACAACAGGAGTCACTGTGCACTTACTCCTCATGTAGGATCTCTGTCCTTAATGTGCTGTGCATTGAGATTTAATGCTATAACGAGTACTCAAACAATATATTTCACTTTGTGTTTCTATGGGGGTGCAAACTGTTGAAATCTTTACTTAATGCATACTAAACTGATCTTCTGTAAAAAAAAAAAAAAGAAATTATCAATTCCCATCTTGACTCTCACTGGGATTAAACATGACAATAGGTCTGATCTGATTTCATCATCATTAAAAAAAATCATCTATTATTTTTCACTTTATGTTTCTGTGTGGGAGCAAACTGTTGAAATCCTTACTTAATGTATACTAAGCTGATCTTCTGTATATTAAGATAATCGAAAATGAATCTTGATGTGAATGGAAGGGGAGAGGGAGTGGGAAAGGGGAGGGTTGTGGGTGGGAGGGACGGTATGGGGGGGAAGCCATTGTAATCCATAAGTCGTACTTTGGAAATTTATATTCATTAAATAAAAGTGAAAAAAAAAAACTAAAAAGCTAAGAGAACTGTCACAACCAGAGGAAGCTAGAAGATATACCAATAAATTTTCCTGGGGAGACTTCTAGACAGAATAAAGACATTTGTGAGGGGCCAGCGCCATGGCTCACTTGGTTAATCCTCTGCCTGCTGCGCTGGCATCCCATATGGGCGCCAGGTTCTAGTCCTGGTTGCTCCTCTTCCAGTTCAGCTCTCTGCTGTGGCCCGGGAGGGCAGTGGAGGATGGCCCACGTGCTTGGGCCCCTGCACCTGCATGGGAGACAAGGAAGAAGCACCTGGCTCCTGGCTTCAGATCGGCGCAGCGCCGGCCGTAGTGGTCATTTGGGGAGTGAACCAATGGAAGGAAGACCTTTCTCTCTGTCTCTCTCTCTCACTGTCTAACTCTGCCTATCAAATAATAATAATAAAAAAGACATTTGTGAAAAAACTGGTGAAGTCTTAATAAAATCCCAGTTTTACTAACATTTTTAAAAGTTTTTTAAGAAGATTTATTTATTTATTTGAAAGGTAGAGTTTTATTTATTTATTTGAAAGGTAGAGTTACAGAGAGGGAGAGACAGAGAGAGAGAGGTCTTCCATTCACTTCCTAAATGGCCATAACAGCTAGAGCTGGGCCAATCCAAAGCCAGAAGCCAGATAGGGCTGGTGCTGTGGCACAGCGGGTTAAAGCTCCCGTCTGCAATGCTGGCATCCCATATGGGTGCTGGTTCGAGGCCCAGCTGCTCCACTTCCAATCCAGCTCTCTGCTATGGCCTGGGAAAGCAGTAGAAGATGGCCCAAGTCTGTGGGCCCCTGCACCCACATGGAGATCCAGAGGAAGCTCCTGGCTCCTGGCTTTGGATTGCTGCAGCTCTGGCTGTTGTGGCCAACTGGGGAGTGAACCAGTGGATGGAAGACTTCTCTCTCTGTCTCTACCTCTCTCTGTGTAACTCTGACTTACAAATAAAATAAATAAATCTTAAAAAAAAAAAAAGAAGAAGCTAGGAACTTCTGGGTCTTGCAAGCGGGTACAGGGGCCCAAGCACTTGGGCCATCCTTCATTGCCTTCCCAGGTGCATCAACAGGGAGCTAGATCGGAAGTGGAGCAGGCAGGAATTGGAACTGGTGCCCATGTGGGATACTGGAGCTGCAAGTGGCAGTCTTACTAGATACACTACAATGCCGGCTCCTTATTAATAGTTTTTAACCCATGTAAATTTCTTAGTTTTTATTACATTGTGATTATGTAAGATACTAACATTAAAGAAAACTGGATGACAGGCACATAGAAATTATCTTTGAAACTCTTTTGTAAGTCTAAAATTAATCCAAAATAAAAAGTTAAAAATGTTTATTCTATTCTAGGTCACCTGAATAGAAAAAATACAAATGAAAACATTGCAAAGATCTCTGCTTTCTTTTCAGATGCATACCTTGTAAAAGTGGTTTAAAAAAATCAGAAATCTCTTCAAAAGTGCCATTTCAAAAGGCTTGCATTCATACACTCTACAGTTTCTCTATCCTCAACTGAACATAGTGGCTGCAAAATAAAAGGCATTAAAACTTTTATTAAGGCCCGCGCTGCGGCTCACTAGGCTAATCCTCTGCCTTGCGGTGCTGGCACATCGGGTTCTAGTCCCGGTCGGGGCGCCGGATTCTGTCCCGGTTGCCCCTCTTCCAGGCCAGCTCTCTGCTGTGGCCCAGGAGTGCAGTGGAGGATGGCCCAAGTGCTTGGGCCCTGCACCCCATGGGAGACCAGGAGAAGTACCTGGCTCCTGCCATCGGATCAGCGCGGGGTGCTGGCCACAGCGCGCCAGCCGTGGCGGCCATTGGAGGGTGAACCAACGGCAAAGGAAGACCTTTCTCTCTGTTTCTTTCTCTCACTGTCCACTCTGCCTGTCAAAAAAATAAAAATAAAAAATAAATAAATAAAAATAATAAATAAATAGAAACTTTTATTAAAAGGAGAGCAAGGGCCCACTTTGTGGTTTGCTGCTTTCAATGCTGGTATCCTCTATCAGAGCGCTGATTCAATTCCCCTCACTCCACTTCCTACCCAGCTTCAAGCTAATGTACCTGGGAAGGCAACAGAACATGGCTCAAGTATTCGGGTCCCTACCACTTAGGTGAGAGGCCAGGATGAAGTTCCTGGCTCCTGGTTTCAGCTTAGCCCAGACCTGGATGTTATGGCCATTTGGGGAGTGAAACAGTGGCTGGAAGAGCTCTCTCTCTCTCACTGTGATGATCTGCCTTTCAGATGAATGAATAAATAAATAAATGTTAAAGAAAAGAAAGAAGGATGAACGGATGAAATCCTTTTTTGGACATTTGGGTCCTGGCTGAATTGTGCAAAGTCTCAAGAATTGAAGTGGAATGAGTCCTAAGGATTCTCAGAGGTTTTAAAACATAGGAAGTGTGATAAATAAGTATGTATTTTAAAACTTTTAAATTTAAGATCCTAGTGACAACATATAGACCAACTGTAATAAAGCAAAATTAATATAGATTCATAGCCAATAATCAGTTGTGGAATAGAATCAGTAGATGTTATATTGTTGTTATAAAAATTTATCTTTCTCTCTGTCTCTCTCTCTCTCACTGTCCACTCTGCCTGTCAAAAAAAAATTTATCTTCCCTTCTTGCTTTTTTGAAAAAAAAATTTTTTTTGACAGGCAGAGTTAGAGAGAAAGACAGAGAAAAAGGTCTTCCTTCCGTTGGTTCACCCCCCATATGGCCGCTACAGCCGGTGCTGTGCCAGTCTGAAGCCAGGAGCCAGGTACTTCCTCCCGGTCTCCCATGTAAGTGCAGGGCCCAAGCACTTGGGCCATCCTCCACTGCCTTCCCAGGCCACAGCAAAGAGCTGGAATGAAAGAGGAGCAACCCAGACAGAATCCGCCGCCCCAACCAGGACTACAACCCTGAGTGCTGGTGCCGCAGGCAGAGGATTAGCCACGTGAGCCACGCCGCTGGCCTGAAAATTTATTTAATTTAAATTTAATTCAATTTAAATTTTAATTTATTTAATTTGAAAGGCAAAGTTATATATATAGAGAGAGGAGAGACATATCTTCCATCTAGTGGTTCACTCCCCAAATGGCCACAATGGTGGGGGAAGTCAGGCCAAAACCAAGAGCCAGGAGCTTCTTTTGGGCCTCCCACATAGAGGCAGGGGCCCAAGCACTTGAGCCATCTTCCCAGGTGCATCAGCAGGGAGCTGGATTGAAAGTGGAGCAGCTGGGACTTGAACCAGCGACCATGTGGGATGCCAGCATTGCAGGAGGCGGCCTACTCTGCTATGCCACAGCACTGGCCCCTCCTTCTAGTATTCTTTTTATATATTTTATACTGTAATAAAACAAATATTAATTTTTGTATTACCAAATAGGAATACATGGTTTATGTTCCATTAATGTATTTTAATATTTGTCATAATTGGAGAACAAAGAGGAAATTATATTCCAAAATAGTGGTACAAATCATATGTTAAAAAATTACAAAATTTAACTATATAAGAAATATCTAAATCTTAATTTCACTTCCAAAACATTCCTGATGAACCCTCAGAGCCAAGGCATAAAGCTTAAATACCTTTTTTGAGAAGACCACTGGTGGAAGCTTTTGCAGGGGTACTCTGTCACGGCAAGGATGAAAAGGACAGTGGAAGACTATTGCATGTGTTTCTGGTCAGGCTTGGTCCTTAGATTATTTGGCTTGATCTCATGCATGTAGAATCTAAAACAGTTGATCTCGTAGAAGTAGAGTATAATAATGGTTACCAGAGGCTATGGGAGAAGAAGTAGGAGAAGATGGGGGTGAGATTGGCCAATGGTACAAAGTTAGACAGGAGGGAATGGTGCTGTGGCATAGTGGGTAAAGCCACCACCTGTAGTGCCAGCATCCCATACGGGCACAAGTTCGTGTCTCAGCTGCTCCACTTCTGATCCAGCTCTCTGCTATGGCCTGGGATAGCAGTAAAGGATGGCCCAAGTCCTTGGGCCCCTGCTCCTACATGGAAGACCTGGAAGAAGCTCCTGGCTCCTGGCTTCAGATCAGCTCACCCGGCCTTTATGGCCATCTGGGGAGTGAACCAGTGGATGGAAGACCTCTCTCTCTCTCTCTCTCTGTAGCTCTGCCTCTCAAATAAATAAATCAATCTTAAAAGCTCAAGATCACTAGCCATCAGGGAAATGTAAATCAAATCCACAATGAGGTTTCATCTCACTCCAGTCAGAATGGCTTTCATATAGAAATCAACAGAAACAAATGCTAGCAAGGATGTGGGAGAAAAGGTATCCTAATCCACTGTTGGTGGGAATGTAAACTGGTGCAGCCACTGTGGAAGATAGTATGGAGAAATCTCAGCAATCTGAATACAGAACTACCATATCACTCAGCCATCCCAATCCTGGGGATTCACCCAAGGGAAATGAAATCAGCATATGGAAGAGTTATCTGTACCCCCATGTTTATTGCAACTCAATCCACAATAGCTAAGATATGGAATCAACCCATATGTTTGTCAAATGAAGATTAGATAAAGAAATTATGGGATATGGAATACTACACAGTGATAAAAAAAATTGAAATCCTGCCATTTGCAACAAAATGGACCCAACTGGAAAACATCATACTTAGTGAAATAAGCCAGTCCCAAAAGGACAAATACCACCGTATGTTCTCCCTGATCTGTGGTAACTAAAAGAATACCTAAAAGTGAAATTGACCCTTTAGATGCAATGGCTTTGAACAGCCCTTGTCTTGACTGTTGGGAAACATTTTTTTTTTTTTTTACATACTATTTGTTGAACTCTTAGCATAGAGTTAATCTTATGTATATAAAGGTAATTGAAAATAGATCTCACTAAAAAAGAAGAATGGGAATAGGAGAGGAAGGAGAAAGAAGGGTAGAATGTGAGTGAAAGGGCGAGTACTGTGGGAAAAATCACGGGGTTTTCCTAAAGTTGTATTTACGAAATGCATGAAGTTTGTATACCTTAAATAAAAGGTCACTGGGGAAAAATAAATAAATCTTTAAAAAAAATTCTGTTTTGGCTCTAGGGACCCTGCTCTAGAAAGAAGCTTCTGTCTCTTCAGCTATTCCTTCTCAAGCTTCCTTGCGGCTCTCACTACTCGTCCTTTTCCTCTAACATTCCAGTTTCTCAAGTCCCTGTCTTCAGCTCTCTTTTCTTCTATTATTTGGAAATCCTTTGTAATCTCCAAATCTAGTTGATTCCTTTGGGATTTCTAGGCATACAGTGGTATCAAAAAAGTACTTTCAGTTCTTCTTTCCAAATATTTTTTCCAGATTTCTTATGAACGGGAGGATTTCTAATATAGTGTTATATATTAGTGTTTATTTTAAAAACATTTTTATTTTTGCTCTTTATGAGGAATAACTAAAGTGCTTTTCCCTGAAATGTAATGCTGGTTTTTGGGTTATGTAATTTTTACTTGCTTCATTTTAAAAACTGAGATATAATTCACGTAACATAAAATTTGCCATTTTAAAGTGTAAAATTCACTGCTTTTCAGTATATTCATTATATTCTACAAATGTCAATACTATTCAATTCCAAAAAGTTTCCATTATCCCATGAAGAAATCCCACACCAATTAGCAGTCAGTCCCAGTTCCTCCCTCCCAAGTCCCTGGCAACCACTTATCTACTTTTTGTCTCTGTGGTATTAACTATTCTGGACATGCAAATCATTTGCATTTTCTCTATGTTGACCTTTTTGCTAGACATATTGTTAGGTGATGACTACTGTGGAAGACCTTACAGTTGCCTCCTTATCAGCCATTCATCCTTTCCCTATAGGGGAGTAGCCCATTAAGTTTAGGTGTGATTTACCTGAACTCCAGTTCCAGGAGAAGCCGTGAAATAGTGATACCCCTCATTTTTCGGTTCAGGAGTGAGCCTAAAACCTAACTTGTGGGACCAGAGCTGTGGCTCAGTTGGCTAAGCCTCTACCTGTGGCACATGCATCCCATGTGGGAGCTGGTTATGTCCTGGCTTCTCCTCTTCTGATCTAGCTCTCTGCTATGGCCTGGGAAAGCAGAAGATGGCCCAAATGCTTGGGCCCCTGCACCTGTGTGGGAGACCCAGAGGAAGCTCCTGACTCATAGCTTCAGATCAGCCCAGCTCCAACAACTGTGGGGAGTGAATCCTTGGATAGAAGACCCCCTCCCATAACTCTACTTCTCAAATAAATAAATAAAATATTAAAAAAAAAAAAAGCTAACTTGTGCTATCAGAGTGGTACTCAGGACATACATATATGTGTGCATGTGTGTCCATGTGTATGTGTGGTGTGACTTACTAATGCCCATTCTTACATGTACAATTTGTTGAATTCTTACATCTGGATATACCAGTGGAACCACTATACAATTCAAAATATAGAACATTACAGCATTCCAGGTGTCTCATGCCTTCTCTCAATCAGTAGTGTCACTCCAAGAATAACCTCTATCCTGAGCCAAGTTCAGAAGTGTTGTTCAATGACTAAGACAGGAGTCACTGTCTCTCTTCCCCTGGATATGAGTAAATAGGTAGATAGGCCTGGGAGCTTCAGGAAAGTATCTGGCTACATGAGCAAAGCCAGCCTGAGGATAACACAAACACACAGAAGAGAGGAGAAACAAGTAGATTACAGAGAAAAAAATCAGAGTGAGTCCTTAGATGAAACTAACCCTGAAGTTATATTACCTTTGAATTTTCCAGCTTTTTTTATTTATTTATTTGAAACTTACAGGGGCTGGCATTGTGACATAGCAGATTAAGCCACTGCCTGCAATGCCAGCATCCTATGTGGGTGACAGTTCAGAGGGGGCTGTTCTACTTCTGATCCAGGTCTCTGCTAATGAGCATGGGAAAGGAGCAGAAGATAGCCCACTTGCTTATGCCCCTGCACTCACGTGAGAGACCTTGAAGAAGCTCCTGACTCCTGGTTTCAGCTTGGCCGAGCCCTGGCCATTGTGGCCTTCTGGGGAGTAAACCAACAGATAGAAGATTTCAGTCTCTGTCTCTTCCCCCTTCTCTGTAACTCTGCCTTTCAAATAAATAAAAAATCTCCATTAGGGGAGTGAACCAAGGGAAGGAAGACCTCTCTCTCTGTCTCTCTCTCTCTCTCTCTCTCACTGTCTTAACTCTGCCTAGCAAAAAATAAAAAAAGAGAGAGAAAGAAAAGAAAGATACAGTGACAAAGAAAGAGACGGAGAGAGATCTTCAAGTTGCTGGTTCACTTTCCAAATGGCTGAAGCCAGGAGACCAGATTCCCACAGTGGTTGGCAGAGGCTCAAGTACTTGGGCCATCTTCTGTTGCTTTCCCAGGTGCATTAGCAGGGAGCTGGATTGGAAGAGGAATAGCTGGGACTTGAACCAGCATTTTTTTATAAGATTTATTTATATATTTGAAAGGCAGAGATAAAGAGAGAGGAGAGACAGAGATTGATCAATTTTCCGTCTGCTGGTTCACTCCCTAGCTGTCTGCATTTGGGGGCTGGGCCAGGCTGAAGCCAGGAGCTTCTTCCAGGTCTCCCACATGGGTGCAGGATCCCAAGCACTTGGGCCATCTTCCACTGCTTTTCTAGGTGCATTATTAGGGGGCTGGATTGGAAGTGGAGCAGCCAGGACATGAATAGGAGCCCACATGAGATGCCAGTGCTGCATGCGGAAGCCTAGCCTTCAACACGACAGTGCTGGCCCCGAACCAGCATTTCAAAATGGAATAGAAGTGCAAGCAGCAGCTTTACCCACTGCACCACAATGCTAGCCCCTGAACTTCTCAGTTCTATGAGCCAATTAAAGTAAGCTACTTTATTGTTTTAATGGCTTAAATTGAATTTTCCTTAACTCACAGTTTTTAACTTGAGTAAAAATCTTAGCTCTGTCTCTTACTTAGTCTAAGTTCTATTAACTTATTTTAAATATCAGTTTTCTGATCTCTAAAAATAGGAAGATAATATCTCTTACACACAGTTTTTTATGGAACAACTTGGTATAGAGAGAATATATGTATGGTATGTATACATACATATTAGGCATATAAGTATTTTCATACATATTAAACTTTCAATTGATAGAATTTTTAATGGCCGGTGCCACGGCTCAATAGGCTAATCCTCCACCTAGCGGCGCTGGCACATCGGGTCCTAGTCCCAGTCAGGGCGCCGGATTCTTTCCCGGTTGGCCCTCTTCCAGGCCAGCTCTCTGCTGTGGCCAGGGAGTGCAGTGGAGGATGACTCAAGTGCTTGGGCCCTGCACCCGCATGGGAGACCAGGATAAGTACCTGGCTCCTGCCATCAGATCAGCGTGGTGTGCCGGCCGCAATGCACCAGCCACGGCGGCCATTGGAGGGTGAACCAACGGCTAAAGGAAGACCTTTCTCTCTGTCTCTCTCTCACTATCCACTCTGCCTGTCAAAAAAAAAAAAAAAAAAAGAATTTTTAATAATAAATATCCCTAAAGATGAGAGTTATTTAACAATGGAATGAGATCCCTTCCAGATAAGTCCCCAATAACTACAAATATTAAGCATTAGCTGGGTAATCTACCTTTTCAATGTTTTTCTAAAAGATGCTCTTGCTTTGAGGTGAAACTCCAAGGTCCCTTCCATCACTAAAAATGTAGAACACTTACTGATCTGAACACTGCTCTGAATAACGACAAAGATGTGAAATAGACTGTTTTTTGGCCCAAAGACCAAATGTAAAAAAGACAAAAGGTAAAAA